GGGCACGCCTGGCAGACCAGGAGCGTGCCAAGGGCAGAGCCGCTTTCTGGAGCGGACCAGGTGACCGCTTCAAAAGTGGGAGCCCTCCTGTCGCCCCGGTAGCGTGTGGAGGCTCCCGCAGGCCCCTCCGATCCGCGGAGAGACCCGCCTATGGGTCCTCCGCCACCAACCGGTGTGGCCACCACAGGACCAATCGCACGTCGCCAGTGCCGGGCCCCTCTAGGACGGAGCGCCCGGAAAAGCGCGGTCCGCCGGGGCCGATTTCGCCAACGATAGCGGTAGTCCCCGGATCCGCCTCAGGACCCGCCCGGTCTCTTTAGGAACGGGTTCTGAAGACAGGACCAGCAGCCATCGGCTGGGCTCTAGCGCTGCTGAGTTCTTTTAAAACATAGCAGTGCTTTTAAAGGACCCTCATTCAGTTGGTCTTACAGTGAAACTGTAGAGGTGCAAGGTCAAGCACCCAGGACTTGCAGACAGTTTTAAGCGCGCACTGCCCGGTAGTCGTGTGTCTCCAAGAAACCAAGTTGGCTCCTGATGCGGCCTTCAGCCTGAAAGGGTACACTACCTTCCGCACTGACATGTCAACAGACACCGTTGCTTACGGTGGCGTTCTGTTGGCTTTACACCAAAGCGTACCTACACGGCGCCTGGTGTTGAGAACAGACCTGCAAGCTGTCGCAGCATCGGTGAATTTCAACCGCCGTACCATAACTGTCTGATCTCTCTACTTACTACCTGGGGTTTCATTTACATCTGGAGGATTACGAGAGTCAGTCTCTCATTCCTCCCCCTCTACTCGTTTTAGGCGATTCTAATGCACATCACACTGTGTGGGGGTATGCTTCCACGAACACTCGCGGAAGGCTATGTGAGGCTTTTGTGCGTGACGAAGGTTTGTGTGTTTTAAATACAGGAGCAAGAACGCATTTTGCATTGCCATCAGGACAATCGTCAGTGCTAGCCCTGAGCATTTGTAGTCCGCAGTTGGTACCACACTTCATCTGGGATGCCTCAGCGGACCCCCTCGGAAGGGACCATTTCCCGGTCTGGGTTCGGTACCGTGATGGTAGTGTTCTTGGTACGCGACCTCAGCGTCGGAACTTCAAGAAGGCGGACTGGAGCGGATTTGGTACCCGCCTAGAGAAAGTATTTTCTGACGATTCCGACTCTGCGACGCCGACCCGAGAGTAATTTACGTCTCGTGTTCTGGACGCGGCAAGCGAATACATTCCGGGCACCTCCGGATGCCCTCATCGCATCCCTGCACCTTGGTGGAACGACGAGTGTCGCGACGCTATTCGCGCACGTCGGAGAGCTTTAAAGGCTTTTGACCGGCACACCAGCACATTAAACCTCATGGCCTTCAGGCAAGCACGCGCGGCCTCACGCCGCACTATACAGAGGCGAAACGTGCATCATGGCGCAGCTACGTCAATTCACTGAATCACCACACGCCGACGTCACATGCATGGGGCCGCATTAAAAGAATCGTTGGACTGCATCCACCAGTTTCCCTTCCCGTACTGCGAGTGGGAAGTCAAGACATCCTTCACCCAAGTGATGTCGCGGAAGCCATTGGGGAAGCCTTGTCAGACCAATGCCGAAATGGCACCCGCGATCCACGGTTTTTGCGACACCGGGCGCAATGTAAAACTTTGCAAGTTAATTTTTATACAGGGAACATCCTGACGTCAACAAGCTTTCCCTGTGATGGAACTTGAAGCAGCCACTCGCTCGCTGCGTAGTGTTGCGGAGGGGCCCGACCTCCTCCACAGTGATATGGTACGGCATTTTCCTCCCCGTGTGCTACGAGCATTGCTGGCACTTTTCCACTGTATATGGGAGTCAGGTAACTTCCCGCCAATCTGGCGAGAGGCTATGGTAGTGCCTATTTTAAAGCCCGGGAAAAGTGGAACGAAAGCCCTTGACTACTGCTCGATCGCCCTCACATTTTCGCTTTGTAAGCTGATGGAAAGAATGGTGAATGTGTGGCTCTCGTAGACTTAAGAACGTCAAAACTTTTTTGCGAATGCTCGAAGGCTCAGTGCGAATTCCGTAAGAACAGGAGCACGATTGATCACATCTTAACTCTTGATACCGCAGTGCGAGCCGGATTTAGTAGCAAGCGTCATACCGGTGCCATCTTTTTTGGCATAGAAAAAGCTTTCGATACCACATGGAGACATGAAAGTTTGATGAAATTACTTGATTGTGGCATCCACCGTCACATGGGAAAGATTCGCCAAACTTTTTGACTGACAGATGCTTTCGGGCGCGTATTGATTCTCATCACTCCGACAGATATCCACAGGACAATGGTCTGCCTCAGGGCAGCGTATTAAGTGTCATTCTTTTCGAAGTGATGGTAAACGACATAGGGGACACGCTTCCATATGGGATCAGCCGTTCTCTGTTTGTAGACGACTTCGCTATTTGGTGTAGCTCATCGACCACTCGCACGATGGAGCGACAGCTGCAGCTGGCTGTCACACGTCTGGAGAAGTGGAGTGTGCTCAACAGTTTCCGGTTTTCCACATCGAAGACAGCTGTAGTCCATTTGTGTCGTCGTCGCCGTCACTGTCCTGATATGGAAATCAGGCTGTATGGGCAACGCGTCATCAATGACAGTACCGTGAAATTTCTCGGTATACGATTTGACCGACGCCTAACATACCGTGAGCACATAAGAAATCTCCGCGACAAATGTTTAATGGCTCTTAATATCCTAAGGTACGTGGGACGAACATCATATGGTGCTGTTAGGAGCACACTCTTACTCCTATACCGCTCCCTGATTCGTTCAAAACTTGATTGTGGTTGTTTTATCTATGACGGTTCGTCAGACCTGATCAAATGTACGTTGAACACGGTGCATCACGCTGCACTGCGTATCGCCACAGGAGCTTTTCGAACATCGCCCATAGATAGTCTTCTGGTGGAGGCTCACGACCCCCCACTAGCTTTGCGAAGGCAGATGCTGGGACTGCGCTACACGTGTAAACTGGCGCAGTTCCCAGATCATCCCCCTACAAAGCAGTGTTTTCGCGTAGCTTACGAAGGCTTTTTCTACGTCAACGTCTCCACAAATTTCTCTCCATTTTGTTTACGAATGAGATAACTTTTAGACGCGAGCGGCCGCAACCTACGACGTGTCATCAGACCTGAACCCATGAAGACTGCTCCATGGGAGCTAGCATCGCCAAGAGTGGATATTTCGTTATCGAACATGCAAAAGCAACGCGTTCTCATGACGGAACTTAAAGGGACAGCCTTAGAACACAGCTTCTTTTGACGGGTACATGATTACTTATACGGATGGTTCGAAGCCGGACGCAGGTGTAGGGTGCGCTTTTGTGTGTGGATCCACAACACGGCCATTCACACTGCCTTCACACGCGTCGGTCTTCACCTCCGAGTTCACAGCCATCAGCGAAGCTCTCTGTTTTATTGAAGTGGACGATAGCAATTTGCATTTGATTCTTTCCGACTCCTTGAGCAGCCTCTTGGCTGTTGGTGGCTTCTTTCCGTCGAATCCACTGGTCCAGGACATTCAATCGCGTCTTAGCTCACTGGATCGAGCAGGAAAAACGGTCGTTCTATGCCAGATCCCAAGTCACGTGGGGATATGCGGAAATGATCTTGCTGACGCGGCAGCAAAGCGCGCTACGACAGGGACTAGAAATCCTATAACACCACTGCCAGCTCAAGACATGTACCCCGCAGTGTCGTTGTTTATGCGGAAGCGATGGGAGTTCCATTGGAACTCGCTGAGCGCCAATAAGCTGCAGTCCGTGAAACCCCGTATTGGACTATGGCAGTCGTGCTTTCGGGACAATAGGGTGGAAGAAGTTGCCCTTTGCCGGTTACGCATAGGTCACACATATGCTACGCACCGTCACCTGCTATTGGCTGGC